AAAAAAAAAAAAAAAATCTTACCGTCTCTTTACCGTTTGTCCTAATAAAAAGAGGATTTACTAAATTAGAATCCAATAAACTTTACTAATCTGCTTTATTATAGCAACTAATTATTAAATGGCCCCCACACTTATTACTTCACTTCAATTAGAACGTTGGGCCCTTTTGATTACTTTTCCCTTTTTACCCCTTCTTTATTAGACCGTTGTAATCTCAATCTCTCCTGGCTCACACATTGTTATTTAAATAAAATATAATTAAAAAAAATCAGAGACAGAGTAATTTCATCACCCAAAGAAACACAAAAAAAGAAACTCGAAAATCGCTTCAATGGCGGATGGGAATCCCTTTCTTCTTCTCCAAAATCGCACTCCCCAATTCTCCGATTCCCAGAAGCCCCAACTCCTGAAACTCGCGACGGAGAGCCCGGTGATGGAGAGAGGCCCCAGGTTCAATGAATACTCCCAACTCAGAGAGAGGAAGCTGAGATCGAAGAAACTCACGGCGCAGAAAGCCCCACCGGAAACATACGAGGAGCCGCCGCCGCCGCCGGTGTTGACCCCGCAGAGAAAGCAGGTGAAATTCGACTCGGATTTCGCTACCCCGCCGAGGAGGCCCAGGGCGCCCTCCGCCTTGACCCAGTCGGTGCCGGATTTCTCGTCGGCGCTGAGGAAGGAGAACCGGAAGCCGGCCGCGGCGCAGCTTCCGCCGGTGGCGGAGAGGTCGATGACGCCGCCGGAGGGGCTGCGCAAGGGCGGGAGGGGTTATTGCGGGAGGGTGGGCGGAGGGAGCAAATCGACGAATTCGGCGGAGAAAAGGAGTGGGGGGCTGATGGCGGCCCGGAAAAGCTACGCTAACATGGAGGAGTTGAAGAGATTGGCCGTGGCTGCCGGAAAAGAAATCAATGGACGGAAAACTGGTGTGGGGAGTAGACTCTTCTGAATTTGGGGTTCTTTTTACTGGTGAAGAAGGGATATTACTGTTGCTATAGGTATGGTATATTTGATTTTTTATTTTTATTTTTTTTTTCTTATTTCATGCTTTTTCGCGATATTGTTATTTTTTTCTTTATAAAGAACTATTTTGGGAGAAATTGCTAAGGTCCGTTATGGGATGGTATGGTCAATGTTTTTCACTATTGGATACACATATATATTATGTTGCTTAGATAATCTACGGTAACCAATACTGACGGAACCATTCCGTCAACGGAACTGTAGTAGTTCCCCTATTTTGGGTTCTTCATGTTCTGAATGCTGGGTTGGTGGGCTTTTTGGTCTTTTTTATATTTTTGGCCGGTGTAGTTTGGACTTTGTATGAGGCTATTTAGAGATGAATGGAAGGCTATTTGGAGATTGATGATGAATTGAAATCAAAGTTTGGTGGTTTTTCAAATTCGAAATGTGTATGGATTTCACTTGTTTTTGTATGAAGTGTGATAGGATTGAATTGAAAAACTGGGACTTTATGGAAGTACTAAGAAAAATTCGGATTTTTTTGGAAGTATTAGTTTATAATTTTTTTGGCGAATATGTATTCGAATTGGCTGACAATTCATGCCTCGTCGTCCTTCTCTGGCAAGTCGTCATCCCCCAACAACTCCAAAGAGGAGACCCGACTTGGTGCACTATCTGAGGTTGCCCATGGCCTCAGTGACCCAGAGGATTTCGATCAAGCGTCAAGCGAGTTCATCGGCGGCAGAGCACTACCTCCTTCTGCCCTAGTAGGGCTTGTCGATGGCAGTGGCAGGTTTTCGCTTTCCTCGCGGAGAAATAACCCCTAAAAACTAGATAGGTCCCTAGGGCAAATTTAATGTATAAATTTAAAAAAAATTAATGTATAAATTTAGTTCTTTGGGCAAATTTGCATTTGTAAAAATTTTTTTACGACACAATAATGATAAGTAAAAATGCACAATATTACGTCTAAAAATACACATTAAAAATATCATTGTATTTTGATGAGATTATAAAATTGTTACAGCATGCACATTTAACGGTTCACGAATTTACTACATTGCAACAATAACCTCGCTACAAATTCTACAATCTATTAATATATAAAGAGGGGAGGCATTTATTTGAAAAAAGATTCAAAAAATCAGCAAAAAAAAAGAATTCATTTCCTGCCTAAAGTCAATTTAATGAAACTAAAGATTTTTGGCAAAAAATTGAAATCTGAGCGCCATTCAACCAATTTTGAAAATTTTGAAAAAAAAAATAAATCAAAAAGTCTAAATAAAAAGATTACATGCAGATTTTTTTGGAGATTCCATATTATCTAACTTTCATGCAATATGAATGGGACACTTGTCCTATTTTTATTGGTCCACTATAAATTTTACATGATAAGATAAGTATAACTCAAATTATTGATATTATTTTATTTTAAAAAATAAAATAAAAAATATCACAATTCGTATTTTTTCATACTCTATAAATAGAGACCGCTCTTGATATGTTTTGGAACACAATTGAAATTATTATGTTGGGTTAGGTTGTAGATAAACCAATACCAAACAATGTATTGTAGATAATATTTATTAAATAAATATATAAAAATAAAATAAGTATTATAATATCTTTATTAAGTCACCAACTAAAAAATCATAAATAAAAAAAAATAGCAAAATTCGTGACCCAGTTCAAATTGTGACCCTGGATCGCAACCTAGCCACAAGGAGGGAAAGAGAAAAGAGATGAGTGAAATGGGGCAAGTATCCCATTCTTATTGGTCTATAAATTTTTTCTATAATAAGATGATTGTAACTCAAATTATTAATATTAATTTATATGAAAAAAATAAATAAAAATTTATTTTTCATTCTCTATAAATAGAGACCACTCTTGATATATTTTGGAACATAATTACAATTTCTATCTTTTCACTTT